CTCCCTACGCTGGTCCGACTGGAGGCCTTACTGAGCGTCGTGAGCCTGCGTCTCGTCCTGCGTCGCCTGTTCGTACTGAGCGCGCTAGTGGTCGCGGGTGGCGTCAGCGTCCTCCTCCTGTCCCTGGCACGCACCGGATGTCACTGCGTCCGTCCACTGCTCCTCTGCGTGCCCCTTTGCCTTCTCCTCCTGCTTCCTCTCTTCCTGCTCTTGCCGACCCGGAGTCGGACTCTCTTCGTGCTGCCAGTCCTACTGTCACGCGTCTCCTTGCTACTGCTGTCACTGACCCTTCCTTCGAGTCGTCTGCTGCGTCTGCCCTTGTCACTGAGCTTGTCGACTTTGCTGCGCGCTGTCGTCTAGACTACGCTGCTCGTCTTGTCGCTGAGTCTGAGTCCGCCTGTCCTCCGTCCGTCGGGGGTGAGTGTGCCCTTGGCACGGACATCCTAGAGGACAGGCAGGAGGAGTTCCAGTGTCTAGCCGCTGCTTCACCTCGTCTCGCGTCTGTACTGCTAGCCCCTGAGGGAGACCCGGATGCACTAGACATCCCGACTCCGCGTTCTTACGCGGAGGCCGTAGAGGGTCCCTACTCCTCTCAGTGGCAGGCAGCTATGGATGCAGAGATGGCTTCCTGGAAGTCCACAGGCACCTACGTTGACGCGGTTCCCCCTCCTGGGGCGAACATCGTCAGTGGCATGTGGATCTTCAGGGTGAAGCGGCCGCCGGGCTCGCCGCCTGTCTTCAAGGCGCGTTACGTGGCTCGTGGCTTCAGTCAGCGGCAGGGAGTTGACTACTTTCAGACCTTCTCTCCCACCCCGAAGATGACCACTCTTCGGGTGCTGCTGCACATTGCCGCTCAGCGCGACTACGAGCTTCACTCTCTCGACTTCAGCACTGCATTCCTGCAGGGTAGCCTGCACGAGGAGATCTGGCTGCGCCGTCCGCCTGGCTTCACTGGGACTTTCCCTCCTGGCACCCAGTGGAGCCTCCGACGGCCAGTCTACGGTCTCCGCCAGGCACCGCGTGAGTGGCATGACACACTGAGGACTACGCTTGCGGCTCTTGGGTTTGCTCCTTCTACTGCTGACCCGTCGCTGTTTCTTCGCACCGACACTTCCCTGCCGCCGTTCTACATCCTCGTGTACGTCGACGACTTGGTCTTTGCCACAGCGGACACTGCTGGACTCGCCTACGTGAAGTCCGAGCTGCTGAAGAGACACACGTGCACAGACCTGGGTGAACTGCGCAGCTACCTTGGCTTGCAGATCACTCGGGACAGAGCACGCCGCACCATTACCCTGACTCAGTCACACATGGTGCAGCAGGTCCTTCAGCGCTTCGGCTTCACGTACTCCTCGCCTCAGGCCACTCCTCTGCCTACTCGCCACTCACTCTCAGCTCTGCCTTCGGATGAGTCCGTAGAGTCGAGTGGTCCGTATGCAGAGCTTGTTGGCTGCCTCATGTACCTGATGACCTGCACACGACCTGACCTTGCATACCCTCTGAGCATCCTTGCACGCTATGTTGCTCCTGGGAGACACCGACCAGAGCACATGGCTGCAGCGAAGAGGGTATTGCGCTACCTGTGCAGTACGTCGGGCATGGGGCTAGTGCTTGGAGGGCGGAGTCCAGTGGTCCTTACTGGGCACGCAGACACTTCTTGGGCTGACGACCAGGCTACGCAGCGGTCGTCACAGGGTTACACCTTCAGCCTTGGTTCCGGCTCTGTCTCGTGGCGGTCTACTCGCTCGTCTTCGGTTCTCGGCTCCAGTTGTGAGGCTGAGATCTACGCCGGGGCCATGGCTGCACAGGAGCTTCGCTGGCTCACCTACCTGCTGTCTGACCTTGGAGAGCTGCCTCGTTCTCCTCCAGTGCTGTACGTAGACAACAAGGCCATGTTGGCCTTGTGTCGAGAGCAGCGCTTGGAGCACAGAACGAAGCACATTGCTCTCCGCTACTTCCTTGCTCGTGAGCTGCAGCAGCGTGGTCAGTTGCGACTTGCTTACGTGGCCTCTGAGGCCAACACTGCTGATGTGTTCACCAAGGCACTTGCGCCTTGCGACCATCAGCGCTTTTGTACCCAGCTGGGTCTTGTACCTGTCTTGCCTCACTTGCTCTCTTCTTGATTTTACTTGTACTTTGACATATATATACCTGCTCTTGCTTGTCTAGTTTTATATATATGTCTGTACTCCTGCATGTGAACTGGCCTCTGGCCTTGCTCTTGTGCTCGGACTGTGTGGTGACTTTGTGATCCACCCTGAGCTTGCTTTGCTTTACTTGACTGGTCTTGTGACCCCTTGTTCTCCCCCACTTTGCCTATGGGGGTGTGTCAGATTATTATAGCTGATGCATGTTTGTAGGCTATAGTGGGGTAGCACATATGGGGTACAGTTTGCTAGGGTTGTATTTGTACCCAACTCTGACTTAGTCAATTCATTCCTGTTCATTCCTTTCACAATCGCCATTGGCGAATGTATCACGCGGCTGACTGCCAAAGCAGCCCTCGCAGCCATGGGAGAGGCCGCGCGGGCCTTTTTCCTGCCTCTACAGTATGGCGTAGCTGTGCCTGGAGGAGCCGAGGCAGTCATCCACGTGGCACGGGCGTATCTGGACAAGCTTCCCAACAGCCTCGTGCTGCAAACCGACATCTCAAATGCATTCAACAGCATTTCACGGCAAGCTATCGCGACAGCGTTACAAGGACCGGAGTTGTCGCCACTACTGCCGATGGTGAAACTGACATACGGTAACCCGTCGAAATTATTCGTCGACGCGAATTTCGGATCGGACCCACTGATCAGCGAACGGGGCGTGCGCCAAGGGGACCCACTTGGCCCACTACTGTTTGCGGCGGGAATGCACACTGCACTCCGCGACACTGCTGCAGCACACCCCCAGGTGCTGTGTCTGGCATACGCTGACGACGTCACATTCCTGGGGGAGGCGACGGCTACTGTAGCAGCCTTCAATCATTTCACCGAGAAGCTGGCACACCTGGGATTACGACATAATGCGCAGAAATGCGCAGCCTGGAGCAGAGAAGCAGCAGTAAAGGATCGGTTGCCGCACGGCGTACCATTCTCCCAGAAAGGTGTTCGCTTGCTCGGAAGCTTCGTGGGGCCTGACAGGGGGGCGTCACAGTTCCTGTCGGGTCAGCTGCAGGAGATGGCCAAACCTCTGCCACTGCTTGAGAAAGCCGACCCGCAGGTAGCCTCGTTATTGCTCACCCGCTGCATTTCGAGGCGCGTGGCATATCTTACCAGAACAACACCGCTTTCCCTTTTGCCACGAGAGACCTGGAGCCAGTGGGGGACAGACCTGCTAGCGGCACTACTCACAGCATGCCACCTTCGCGTCCCCACCTGCCGTACCGAGCAAGCACGTGTCTGGGCGCAGGCGTCTTTGCCGCCGTCTTTGGGAGGGATAGGCATCACTGACCCGCTGGTCGAGGGTGTTTTCGGGTTCGCCGCGAGCTTCACGCAGGCGGCGCTTTTCATCGCATCACTAGATGGCGCCCCTGAGGGCGCGCTGGCGCAGGCGCGGGACCACATGCAGTTGCCCGCTGACACCACCACGCCCCTTCACACGTGGCTGTCGGAGTGAGAAGCAGCGTTACCCGACGATGCGCGAGAAGTCCTGGAGAAAGAACGGCTAGAGCGAACTGATTTGAGGCTCCAGCACGCATTGGCGCTAAGGGTGGATGGGAGTAGATATGCGGCGCAGGTGCAGGCGACGAGGGAGATGGCGGTGAACCCCTTGTGCGGACATACGCAGCGGATGTACTCAATGACGGGATATGGGACTGGGGATTGGCTGACCGCTATCCCGATTGCGGCCAACAGGAGGATAGGGCCCACTCACTTTTCCAATGCCGTACGTTTCCGGCTGGCCCTCCCCTTCTCCACGCCGAAGAATTGCGACTGTGCGGATCACACGGAGATCACGGACCCCCGCCTCCCGAACCACCTTCTCCGCTGCGGCACAGGCAAGCATCGCATCAACACCCACAACGAGCTGCGCGATGCCTGCATCAGCATGGCCCAGGACGCGGGTTTCATCATTCTCAGCGAGTCCTCAGCGCACTGCCCCGTTGAGGAACAGACGGCCGAATTTACAATGACAGACAGGAGCAGTGGGGCCGTCTATGTATGTGACGTCACCATCACCGACCCCATTAGCACAAGGGATCCGGAGGCACAGAAGGGCAGGGGCTGGGCGGCCCGGGAGCAAGCGGACAAGAAAATCCAGCACTACGCCTCCCTACCAGAGACGGTGACCTTCTTCCCCCTGGCTGTGGACACCTATGGCTGCCCGTGTGCGGAGGTACCAGCCTTTTTGAAGCTCTTAGCGGAGACTGCAGCTCCGCGGCACTTCAACGCCGACTCTAAATCGTTCTATGCTGCAAAGTTCCTGCACCAGTTCAGGCAACGCTGGTCTGTGGCCCTGCAAAGGGCCCAATCTGTAGGCCTCCTGCTCAAGCTTGGGGAGGCGGCGACGGTTGAGAACCCGCCGGTGGGAGGAATTGGGGATGAGTTGCATCTAGGGGACTGCTTTGCAGTGATTGAGCCCCTCGTAGAGTTGTAGATCGGCGATGTTTGCAACCAGCATGCTTGTTACCTAGGCCACTATAACTTGCCTGCCTGTACTTGACTGCTATATCAATAAAAGGACCATTAGAGAGAGGAATGGCCTAGTTCCAAGTCCTTAGCCGTTTTTTCGGCCTCTCTAACCTAGTCTCCTGTCCTTAGCCGTTTTTAGCCTGTTCTTCCTAGTATAAAGCCCCTAGATCTCCGCCCATGGGGCTTATTATTCACTGGTGAGTTCAGTTTACTCTCCAAAACCGGCGGCTCACGCCGGCCGCCGCTCGCCAGCGCGGCCTACGGCCGCGCGTGAGGTGTGGCAAGGGAGTAAGCTCCTGGCAGGTCAACATGGGGCAATACAAAAAGGAGGCATAGATCTACGGCAGGTACAACAACACCCCCGGGCGTGTATACACCGCCATGGGGAAGCCCAAACCCAGACCTGCTACAAAGGGGGCTGGCAAGGGGAAGTCTACCGCTACTCAACGAGGATCCAACACAGCCTCCCGTCTAGCCAGCGCAAGACGGACGCGGCTGCCGCAACAAGGTAGAGCGGGTCGCCCCGGGCCGAAGCAGCAAGCCGCGCCAAAGCTCCAGGGCCGGGCCCGAGGGCAGCCCCAGGAGAGCCCGGCACATAGCCAATCAGGGGGAGGTAATGCTGCAGCTCCTCCGCCACCGCCACCGCCGCCGACTGCTCCGCCGGCTGCATCGCCTCGATCTGCACCTCCTGCTGCACCAGTGTCACGTGTAGCTGGTCGAGCACATATGACAGGAGTGTCATGCACGTCCCAACGTGCATCACGCGCTGCTCGACGCGAGTTGGGGGCGCGCCAAGAACCAAGGCAGGGGGAGGAGGCGAGCTCGGGGCGTGCGGGAAGTGTGACGGGGGAACTTGGGGCATTGGGGGACGAGGCGGTAGCGGCTGGAAGGGTAGGGGAAAACGCCGCAGTGGGGACTGTGCTGGGGGCCGATGTGGTGCCTAGGAGGGCGGCTGGATTGGTGCTTGAGGGAGCTGTTGCTGCTGCTGCGACTGCAGCTGAGACGGTGGCGGACCCTGTGTTTGCCGGCGGTTCTGCCGCTGCCGTTGGCGGCGGCTCAACTTCACACGCTGCCGCCCCACGGGCGGCACAGAAGGAGGCGGAGGAGCCAAGCCCGGGCGTGGATCAGGAGCAGACCGCGGAGGCGGTGTTGTCGGCGTCTCCGGCACCTGTAACGGCGGCTGTGCTGGCGGCAGTGGTGTCTGCTGCGGCTGGGGAGCAGGGCGCAGCCCCGTCAGAGGTTGACGCAACGCCTGTCCCTGCGAGCGCCGGAACGCGTGTACCTGCCGCGGCCGCAAACAGGCAGGAGCGCGGCCAAGCGGAGGGTGAGTTTCTGGGACCTGCGAACGGAGCTTCTTCCGGCGCTGCACGGGCGGTTTCGAAGAAGAAGCTGCGTGCCCAGCCAGCGCCGAGACGGCCCGGAGCAGGGCTGGGACCTGGCTCCCCGGGACCCCTCCTGGGCTGGCTTCTGCAAGGGCAATCGCCATCTGAGCGAGCGCATCGGTCGTCATCGGTGAGCCAGCGAGAGGTTAGAGAGGAGGCTGAGGCTGGAAGTCGCCCGCCAGGAATCTCCCGGGACGCTTCCGCTCCCAACGTAACACCAGCAACGGCAGTGCACGCTGAGGCTCCAAACACCACGAATGCCGTTGCACACAACACCCGCCACGCGACGGGACGAGCGGCAATAACCTGGGGACCGCCCCGCGGAGGTCGGACACCGTGGCTGCCGGCGGGACGTGGAGCTACGGGCGTGGTGGCAAGAGCGCCAACAAGCGCGGGGAGGACTCAACGGGGGGGCGGTGCACGGGGAGCGCGCGGAGGGCGAGGGGGAAGGGCCCTGGTGGGGGGATCTGAGATCCCTGTGCAAGTTGGCACCTGGCGGGAACGCCACGACAGACCAGAGGCGGGGGCAGCACTAACGAATGAGGAGGAAGCAGCGGGCTCTGAGGACAACGGTGGCGACCCAGAATTTATGTGTGGTGACGAAGCTGAATCTGAGGAGGTGTCCCTGGAGGAGGAAACTGGGGTGGACAGGAATGCACCCAACACACGGGGAAGAGGGTCGAGGGGGGATGGGCAGAACCAACAAGCTGTGGGAGATACAGGTGGAGCAATGGATGCGACGGATGTCTTCTCGCCTACTGACATGGCGAAGGATGAGGCCATCTGGCAAGAAGCTGGGGGTTGGGATATGCAGCAACTGCAACGTAGTGACCAGCCCTTCCTTGTTCGCCGCCTACCTCCACAAATCCTAGACAAATACAGCCTCTGTCTGCTGGCGCCACTTCTGAGGCTGGAGAAGTTCCCCACGTGCCTAGGTGCGTGGAAGATTCTTCTCTTCCTACCGAGGCTTACACTACGACCCTCTCCCGAACCTGTTATTGGGAGCCGCTGGGCTCGAATTGAGGCTCGGCTGCACCAATTTCAGCAGGGGAAATGGGAGGGACTTTTCGAGGAAGCTGGCACTATCCCCGATACCGAAGCCCCGCTACGACACCAACCGGACGACGAAGGTGTTTGTGCACGTGCCGAAGGGCTAATGAAAAAGGGCAATATCTCGAAGGCGGTTGCTGCGTTACGCACCAGCCCACTCGCTGAACCCAGTTCGGCAACCCTCGCTGCACTCCGGGCGAAACACCCACATGCTGAAGACGATCTTCCAGCCTGGGTAACAGGGGTTGCAACCTCTGGGCTCGCCATCCAGATCGACGCTCTTCGCGAAATCCTGGCGAAGTGCCCGAATGGGGTGGGTGGGGGGCCCTCTGGAACGTGCTTTGAGCACCTAAGAGATCCTGCTCTCGCAAATGAGGAGATATTAATTCTACTCGCCAAGACAGTTAACAATTTCCTTAGCACCTACCAGTCACAGGAGCTGCGCGACCTTGCCCTATCCTCGCGCCTGATAGCTTTGGAGAAACCGGGGGGTGGGGTCAGGCCTATCGCGATTGGCGAAACATTGCTCAGAGTGTTAGCGAAAGCAGCTCTACACTCGCTCGGCCCCAAGATCCGTGAGTTCTTTCTCCCGGTCCAATTCGGCGTGGCCATCCCGGGGGGAGCGGAGTGCATCATACACTCGGTTAGAGCGCTACTACAGGAGGACGTCCCGCGGATCGCGCTGCAGCTGGACGTAGAGAACACGTTCAACAGCGTCGAACGCAGGGCTTTCTTCGAGGCGCTGCAATGGTCTAACCTCAACCCCCTACTCCCCCTGGTCCGAAACCTCTACGACGGCCCGTCGAGGCTCGTGGTCGACCAGCGTTTTGACACTGAGTACATCCTGAGCTCCCGCGGAGTTCGCCAAGGCGATCCACTCGGCCCGCTCCTGTTCGCGGCGGCGATCCAGCCAGCCCTGCTGAGTGTGGCCACTACTCTGCCGGATGTGGCGATCGTTGCCTACGCCGACGACATTACGATTGTCGGCCCGCGTGAAGCCGCCTGCCTCGCCTTCGACACGATCGCTGCGGCTTTGGGAAAAGCAGGACTGCGATGCAACATTGCCAAATCAACGGCCTGGGGGAGGAACGCGAGCGAGCAGCAGGAGGAGTTGCCGCTTGGGCTGACCTCGAACCCGGGAGGAATCAAGGTGTTGGGCAGCCCAGTTGGGACTGATGACTTCTGCACGGACCACGTACGGGCGGCGCTGGGGGAGGCGGCATCACCGCTCCTCCTCATTTCACAACTGAACCCGCAGCACGCGCTCCTTATGGTCTCACGCAGCATCTCACGGCGGATCTCGTACATGCTCCGGACGACCCCGGCTTCAACACTAAGTGCGCGAGAATGGAGGGAGTGGAGTGAGGCTCTCCTGGGCTCGGCGCTCACCGCGGCGAAACTACGGATCCCCACCTCCGAGCTTGAGCAGAGCCTGCTATGGCGTCAGGGGACACTCCCCATCCGCCTGGGCGGCCTCGGGGTGATCGACCCTATCTCTGAGGCACCCGCGGCATACCTGGCTTCAGTCACGGCGGCACACATCCTACTGAGGCAGCTGAACCTGCCAACGGACTGCCTCCTGAGCCGGGCGACACAGCTCCTCTCCCACGAGTGGGCCCCACTGCCACCTGAGACCAACCCCAGAGCCACGATGGAGGGTAACCTCCCTGCTGAAGCCCGAGCAACACTAGAGCAGTACAGGGCAGGGAGTCTGGGCACTGGGAACCTGCAGCTGGGGCTGTCCAAGTCTATCAACCAGCGGCGGGCGTTGGAACTCCTAGCAGACACACTTTAGGACCGGCCGGGGGAGGACAGGGGCCACGCCATCCGCCTCATCAGCCTCAAGGGGGTGGGTGCAGGTGACTGGCTCCATGCCATCCCAACGAGAGGAGACCTTAGCTTATCCCCTGGTCAATTCTCGATGGCCTTGGGCCTGCGGTTGGGCATGGAGCTGCCGGTCGCCGAGGTGTGTCCGTGCAAGCGGGAAAACGCGACGATCGCCGATAAGAGCCTCCCCAACCACCTCCTGCGGTGTGGGGATGGAGGGGACGTCGTAAGGACCCACCACGCCCTGGTTTTCGCGGCTCTCAGGATGGCCAAGGATGCGGGTTACAAGACGTTCCATGAGACCACGGCTTTCTCTCCCCCCGTCCTCCGAAAGCGTGCAGACCTGGCCATCCGAGACCAGGAGTCAGGGGAAACGTGGGTAACGGATGTCACGGTCACGGATCCGGTATTGCAGAGGCGGGACAAGAGAGCCAGGAAGTCGCCTGGGTGGGCAGCGGAGGAAGCTTCCGAGGGAAAGCACAGGCTCTACGAGGGCCGCCCTAGCTACGCTGGGTTTTTTGGGCTGGCGGTAGAGACGTATGGGGCTCTGGCTAAGGACACGCAGCAGTTCATCCGTTTGCTAGCCACCCATGCCGCCAAGACGAAATACAGGAAGGGACGCCTCACGACGACCGCCGCCCGACTCAATGCACACTTCAGGCAACGGTGGTCCATGGTGCTCCAGCGCAGCCAGGCGATCTCCATCCTCTCCAAGTCCAACCGAGCGGCGGACACGGCCTTCCCACAGACAGCGGCGGACCCTTGGGCACCCAGGCTGGGGGACCTTTGGCAGACCTTGGAAGACGAGTATGAGGAGCGGCACGCCCCTGCCAGGGCGGCCTGAGAGACTGAGGGGGCCGGGGGGTGAGCACGAGGATCCTGCCACTGCTGACTGGGAGGGTTCGGAGGGACCAGAGACCTTGGAGGGTGTCTCAGGGAAGGGGTGAGGAAGTTGCGGCGTGGAAGGGGTTAAGGGGAGGCACATGGGCTTAGGAGGAGACACAGGACAGGGGGAATGGGGGTTTCTCAGGGATTTGTTTGCGGAGGGTGGCTCTGACAGCTAGGTGTTTCGGTGTGTTTAGTCTGTACGTGCTGGTTTTGTTTGCTTGTTAGCTCTACCTTCTCGGTTGCTTCCATGTTTAGACAAGCTAGTATTTACCGCCTGCCATGTTTGTACCGTGGGACCCATATCAATACATGACTGCTTGAGAGAGAGAGAGAGAGAGAGAGAGAGAGAGAGAGAGAGAGAGAGAGAGAGAGAGAGAGAGAGAATCACCTAGTGACTTAGCCTCTCAAGCCTCCCCTAGCCTCCCTAGCCTCCCTAGTCCTAGTATAAAGGCCTCAGCAGGCCTTGTGGCCTCTTCATTATTCAGCTTTTGGTTGGGTCTCTCTCCTAACCGAGCGGGAGAGAGAGCGAGAGAGAGAGAGAGAGAGAGAGAGAGAGAGAGAGAGAGAGAGAGAGAGAGAGAGAGAGAGAGAGAGAGAGAATCACCTAGTGACTTAGCCTCTCAAGCCTCCCCTAGCCTCCCTAGCCTCCCTAGTCCTAGTATAAAGGCCTCAGCAGGCCTTGTGGCCTCTTCATTATTCAGCTTTTGGTTGGGTCTCTCTCCTAACCGAGATGAGAATCCAACTCGGCAGCAGTCAACGCCACCGAGTCGCGCACGCAGACATCGAAACGCTTCCCTCCACCCAGTGTCAGGATTGGCCCCGCAGCGCCCGCGCTATTTTTCGCCAGTGGAGCTAGCGGAGATGGGGGATAAATTCGCCGACATAGCGAACTGGGACATCTCCGCCCTCTGCGATAGTCGCCAACCGCTGCTGTCAAGACGATTACCGCCTAACCTGTGCCAGTTATTCTCGCTGACACTCCTGACCCCGCTACTTCACCTTTCGCGAAACCCTGACTCCGAAGCGGGTTGGACGCTGCTTCTCTTCCTCCCGCGTCTGACCCTTCGCCAGGCTTCGCCAAAGCACCCAAATTGGCCACAAATCAAGGCCCGTCTTCGGGCATTCCAGCGAGGCGAGTGGTCACAGCTCTACCAGGAGGCGATAAACGCGGTCAACGCCCCTCCGCCCCCACGTCACCAACCCGATGTGACAGGTGTCCTGAGCAGAGCCGAGGGGTTGGCGAAACGTGGCAGTCTGCGTCGAGCCGTGTTGACGCTCGAGTCAACACCCGTCTGTACACCGAGCCCAGAAATTCTAGACGAGCTGCGACAAAAGCATCCACCGGCGGGAGACGACCAGCTGACCTGGCAGTCAGCCGATGCTAAGCCCCTGTGCATTTCCCACGCAGAATTTGCGAAGCTCCTTGGGAGATGCGAGAATGGTGTTGGTGCCGGACCGTCTGGCACAACATTTGAGCACCTGCGCGACGCGGCAATAACCAATGCATCCGTCAGCACCCATCTGCACGCCCTCGTGAATACAATTCTGGGGGGCAACCTCCCAGCTTCGGTTGCGGACCTGCTTACTGCGTCCAGACTCATCGCCCTGGCCAAACCTGGGGGGGGGGTCCGACCAATCGCTATCGGAGAATGCCTGACTCGGCTGGCTGCCAAAGCTGCGCTGTTGGTCATGGGGGAGGCTGCACGTGACTTCTTCCTACCCCTACAGTTCGGAGTGGCGGTGCCTGGTGGGGCGGAAGCGATAATTCACGCCGCCCGAACGTACGTGGACTGCCACCCAAACAGCCTGGTACTACAGACCGACATTGCGAATGCTTTCAACAGCATTTCGCGACAATCCATCGCAGCGGCATTACAGGAGCCAACTCTATCGCCACTACTCCCACTGGTTCGACTGACCTACGGTAACCCGTCGCGACTCTACATGGACTCGACCTTCGCGAGCGGACCCCTACGCAGCGAACGTGGCGTTCGCCAGGGCGACCCACTCGGCCCGCTCCTGTTTGCGGCGGGAATACACCCTACACTTCGTGACACTGCAGCAGCTCACCCAGGGGTGCTTTGCTTGGCCTATGCTGACGACGTGACATTCGTGGGTGCACGAAGTGCCACTGTAGCCGCGTTCAACCACTTCACCTCCAAACTGGAATCACTAGGCCTGAAGCACAACCCGCAGAAATGCACGGCATGGAGCGCCACTGCGTGCGACTCTGCTGGGTTACCTCCAGGGGTGCCGTTCTGCACAGACGGCATCCGCTTGCTTGGGAGTTTTCTGGGGGCGGCCAACGGCGCAGCTTCTTTCTTAGCGGGCCAGCTGAAGGACCTGGCGAAACCCTTACACCTCATTGAGCGGGCAGATCCTCAGGTGGCCTCGCTGCTGATCACACGCTGCATCTCTCGGCGCGTGTCCTATCTAACTCGAACAACTCCTCTCAACCTCGTTTCACGAGACACTTGGACGGAGTGGGGTCGTGACCTCCTCCTGGCACTCCTTACCTCGTGCAGCATTCATGTGCCGGCGGGTAGAGCGGAACAGGCACGCGTCTGGGCGCAGGCCTCCTTGCCCCCCTCTCTAGGGGGAATAGGTGTTACTGACCCCCTCGTTGAGGGAGTGTACGGTTTCGTCGCAAGCTTCACACAGGCGGCTCTGCTTTTCTCTACGCTCGCGCTAGATCCGGACACCGCCCTCTCCCACGCGCGCTGCCATATGCTACGGCCCACGGATGAAAACACACCGCTTCGCTCCTGGCTCACAGAGTGCGAGTCCGCCCTGCCTTCGGATGCGCGAGAGCTACTGGAACGGGAACGACTTAAGCGGACAGATGTCAAACTACAGCACGCCCTTGCCCTACAGGTTCACGGTAGCCGCTACGCCGTGCAAGTACAGGCAACGAAGGACATGGAACTGAATCCGCTAGCAGGCCATACGCAGCGGATGTTCTCCCTAACCGGCTATGGCACAGGGGACTGGCTGACAGCCATCCCTATAGAAGCAACCAGACGCCTAGGCCCGGTACACTTCGCAAATGCCGTCAGATTCAGGCTCGGGCTGCCCTTCTCCACCCCGAAAAACTGTGATTGCTCTGATCACACCGAAATCCTAGACCCCCGCCTCCCGAATCACCTCCTACGCTGCGGCACTGGAAGGCAGCGCATCAACACCCACAACGAGCTCCGAGATGCCTGCATTAGTATGGCACAGGATGCGGGGTTTATCGTCCACAGGGAGTCGGCTGCCCACTGCCCTGTCGAGGAACAAACAGCCGACTTCACCATGTCGGATAGGAGCAGTGGGGCGGTCTGGGTGTGCGACGTGACCGTGACAGACCCCATCAGTACCAGGGACCCACAGGCACGGAAAGGGAGGGGATGGGCAGCTAGGGAACAGGCAGATAAGAAAATCCAGCACTATGCAAACAGGCCTGAGACAGTCGGCTTCTTTCCACTGGCAGTGGAGACCTACGGTTGCCCATGTGCAGAGGTCCCCGTCTTCCTCAAACTGCTGGCAGACACCGCGGCTCGGCGCCACTTCAACGCCGACTCTAACTCCTATCATGCCGCCAAGTTTCTGCATCAGTTCAGGCAGCGGTGGTCGGTTGCCCTTCAGAGGGCGCAGTCAGTGGGCTTGCTTATGAAACTGGGTGAGGCTGCAGCAGCTGAGAACCCTCCGGTAGGGGGTATTGGGCATGAGCTACACCTAGGGGACTGCTTTGCTGTTTTGGAGCCATTGGTGGAACTCTAGAGGGATTAGTCTGAATCTCACATGCTCGTGGAACTATATGTCTGTACCTTTTTGCCATATCAATATACGGACCATTAGAGAGAGAGAGAGAGAGAGAGAGAGAGAGAGAGAGAGAGAGAGAGAGAGAGAGAGAGAGAGAGAGAGAGAGAATCACC